CCTCCGTGGAGGATCAGCTGTGTGGGAGTAGAGTGGTGGTGCTCTGACGTGGTCTGTAGCTGTCCACTGGGTGTGCAGGCCCTGGGGTTTCTCGGGTGGTGCAGGCTATGGTTAGCCCCCACCTGTGTACTGTCCAAGGCCACTATACATGAGCTATAAAGCAATCTGAAATGGCTGCTACTTGTGCTGGGCTTGAAGATTCCCAGGTGAAGCCAAGCTGTGAATCTAGGCTGGCTGCTACTAGTGCTAGGCCTGGGGCCACTTAAAAAGAGGTACAGGGGTTGGGGGCCCACTGAGGCTGGCTGTTCCTTGTTTGAGATTTAGGAAGTTAAGAAGCATGAACCCAAACCTGCCATTCATATGGAAAAGTCACTGTTAACAGCTTGAGTGGGCCCATCCGTTGGGTGGGACAGAGTTCTGGGGATGTCAAGGGCAAGGCAAACAGTGTGGGCCAGGTTGATGGAGTCTCAGATATGGCAACATCTTGCTGCCTCTGTGGCTCTGTGGCTCTGTGGGAGGAGGGTTCAGAGGAGGAACAATGGCCTCTGCCTTACTTTCTGTCTGGGAGAAAGCTGTCTCCCAGCTCTCACCTTGGTGCCAGATGCTTCAGTTCCTCCCCGTATGCCACCGGTGCCTTTCAAGCTGCTACCCCAGTGCTGGAGCTCAGAGGGAGTGAATCTGAGTAAGTCTTTGTGTGGGCTCTTTAAGGGGAACTGCTTGGGACTCTAGAATTTTCTTCCACCAACTCAAGCCCCACTGAATTTTGCAGCCAGAAGTTATAGGGACCTACCTTCTTGGCACTGGATCTCCAGGCTGGGGGCCCTGGTATGGGGCTGGGACTCCTTACTCCTGCGATATCCTTCACGAATTTTTATCCACCTCACATGGATGTGGGACAAGCCCATTCTGCATCTCCGCCCCTCCTACCAGTCTGGATGGATGTGGTTTCTTTAATTTTGAAGTTGTCAGACTTCTTTTCAGCTTGATCTTTGATGGTTCTGAGTGATGGTTGTTCTATATTTTAGTTGTAATTTTGATGCAGCTGTGCAAGGAAACAACCTGTGTTTGCCTAGGCCAGCATCTCAACCAGAAGTCAACCCCAGGGAGACATCTTTATGAGGCATAGCAGACATAGGGCCTCAGGCCCATAGTATTTTATTTTCTTTCAGAATAGGAAAAGAAAAAAATGAAATTTTAGGTTGAAGAAAAATTTTAATGTACAGTATTAATATATTTTTCTTTATACCAATGTAGTTGTAAAATATAATTTTTAATTTTATTTATTTTTTTGTAATGTAAGAAGGACTCATGAAAGCACAAGTACCTAAGGCCCACAAAAGTCTTATATAATGTGGCCTTGGTTGAGTCAGAATTCAAATCAGGTTAGTCTGCCTCCAAAGTTCACATTTTCACTAGCCTGGTAAAACTCCTCTTTATAGTTGAAGAAATTGAAGTCCAAGGCTACACAGTAAATGGATGATACAACCCAATGGAAAATACAGGTTTCTATCAGTCCAACCACCATATCCTGCAGTCCGACAGCACCACCTGGTGGTATTTTCAGTAACTTCCTTTAGTCAAAGGATGAACCTGGAGTGGGTGCAGGTTCAGGCAGCTGTGAACCAGTGTGCCCTTAGGCTCCGTGATCAGCAGTGCGGAAACCAAGGGAAGGAGCCAATGTCACCTGCTCTGGTTAGGTTGTCAGACTTCACACATCACTCCTACACACACACACACACACACACTTCTCCCAGGTTAACAAAGTTATCCTTTAGAGTTAATATTTGCAAAGTGCTTAGATCCAATAGAGACATCATGTGAGCCCATTTGTAATTCAAAATTTCCTAGTAGCCACATTTTTAAAAAGAAACAAGTAAAATTAATTTTAATAATATGTTTTATTTAACTTAGGGTTCAGCACACTGTAGCCTGTAGATCAAATCTAGCCCACCACTGTTTTTTTAAAATAAAGTTTTATTAGAACACAGCCATGCCCATATTCTTGTGTTCTGCCCACAGCTGCGTTTACGCTGTAGCAGCAGAGTTGAGTAGTTTTGTAGTTGAGACCACATGGCCCACAAAGCTGAAAATATTTACTATCTAGTCCCTTACAGAGAAAGTTTGTCAATCCTTGATTTAACTCAATATATACCAATTTGGTCATTTTAACATATAAGTCAAAATAAAAATTATTAATGAAATATTTTAAATTTTTTATCATAAAGATCTCCAACATTTGGTGTGCCCTTTATTCTTACAGCATGTGTGAATTTGTTTGAGACATATTTCAAATTCTCAGTGGACACATGAGGTTCATGAGGACTGAAGTGGGCTTAGAAAAAGGTCTGCATATAGCAATTCTGTTATAGATACTCATTAACTACATCAATACATAAATTCCCTAGAAGACTCAGGCCCTAACATCCTGGGACATCCACACTTATCATGAATCGAGCTCTTTCCCATGCCTCCAGACTGATGCTAGCTACATAGTACCATCTCTGGGAGCATTGAGAAAATTGCCATCCAAATCATTCTCAGTAAGGCTTAGTTTACTCACAAAATCCCAACTGAGAAAGGCTTCCCTGGTGGTAGCCTGTCCTCTTCAAAGCAGCTTGCAGACTTGCTGATAGTTTCATAATAATAATTACTATATAATTCACATATATAGAGCCAGACACTTGCTAGGCATTTTCTGAGCATTGTTTTCATTAAATGACAGAAATAATGGTGACCTCCCTCCGGAAGTCTCCCACGCTGGCTTCGGTGCCTCCTGTGTGCACTAAAAGTGCCCGCTTTCCCCATCCCAGCCCTTCTCTCTCCAGGCTGTGGGCTCCGAGATCTCTCCTTCACTCCCCAGAGGCCCAGCCTAGGCCTGGCCCAGCCTAGGAGCTGCTACATCAACGTTTGTTGCTTTCAATCAAATGACCCCAGAGGAGCCCAGGGGGCCATGTGATATTTCATTGAATTAGGCAGGTATGTGTCAAGCACCGCTGGTTTGCAAGGCTGCAGTGAGAGTTCCAGCAGAATCCCATGCATCCTTTGGCCTTGTTCAAGCTCTCTGCCTCTTGCTCTTTCCCACTCAATAACTTCCCCAAAGTTGATAAGGCAAACCCAGGCAAGTTAGTTCAATCTGCAGTGGCCTAGCTCTTCTGTGACGTTTCAAGCGAAGAGGCAGATGGGGAGAGACCTCTGGAAACTTTCTCTGGAGGTGGCTCTCATAAGAGCAGTTCGTTTGCCCAGTTTTTCCTTTGGCCAGCCCCGGGGGCTGCTCTTTGGTGGCTGGGGAGGAGGGGCGCCACAGTGCCCTGATTAAGCAAGATGTGCCCACGAGCATTTTGGCTTCGCAAAATGCTGTGAGCAAGATGACTCTCTGGGCTCCCTACGTGCCCGAGGCCTTGGAAGTAGTGAGATGTTCTGCGCGCCAATACTGGACCCGGCTGGGATTCCTGGAGAGACCTCGTCCCAAGGACAGGAGGAAAGCCTGTCAAGATGGCCCCAGTAACCAAGGTTTAGCTATCAGATGGAGATATTATGGGATGAATTGTGTCCCCCTCAAAAATCTTATGTTGAAGTCCTAACCTCCAGAATGTGGCCTAAAAGAAGCAATTAGTTAAGGTGAGGTCCTACTGGAGTAAATCCAGCTCCTACTCCAATATGACTGATGTCCTTATAAGAAAATGGCCATGTGACAACAGACACAAAGGGGGAACACCACATAATGACAAAGGCAGGGATGAGGTCTGCAGCTGCAGGTCAAGGAAGGCCAAGGGCTGCCGGGACTCCGCAGAAACCAAGAGGCAGCGAGAAAGGACGCCCTGCAGGTCTCAGAGGGAGCGTGGCTTTTAGGCTTCCAGAACTGTGAGATGATAAATTTCTGTGGTCACCTGGTTTGTGACCCTCCCCCTGCTTCCTTCTCCCTTCCTTCCTTCCTTCCTTCCTTCCTTCCTTCCTTCCTTCCTTCCTTCCTTCCTTCCTTCCTTCCTTCCTTCCTTCTTTTATCTATTGATTTTAGAGAGAGAAACATCCCCCCATTGTTCTACTTCCCCACGCAGTCACTGGTTGATTCCTGTCCTGGAGCATCAGGTCCGTGCTCTAACCAACTGAGCTACCAGACCAGAGCAGTTTGTGGTCCTTGTTATGGCAGCACTAGCAAACTAATACAGGAGGGACTTCTGAGTTTAGGGTGGTGGCTGAGGTCAAATCCACCCCAGATCAGCCACAGGACAAGTCAGGCACAGTGGCAGAAATGGGCTAGTGTCAGAAACTGTTTCTCCTCCTCTTTCTGGGCGCCTGGTTACACAGCACTCCCAGCTTTCTCACACCTGGAAGGTATGTGACCAATAAGCTCTGCTAGGAAGTGATGTTCGTCAGCTCCACACCAGGGTGGTTAAGAGTGGGCACGACCTCTCCAGGCTCCTTGTCTCTCTTCCCCTGTCCCCCATTTGGATGGAGGGGACTCAGGGCAGGACTCTGAGGTCCTAGGAGATGGCAGGGCTGTCAGGCTGCAGAAGCCTGGTCCCCAGATCAGTATGTGGCAGGCGGCCCATGGAACATCAGACTGCACTGTGCTTTAAGAAATACATCTTTATTAGTTTAAGTAACTGGGATTTAGGGGCTGTTCGTTACAGCAGTGAGGCAAGCCTGAGTCATGCAGGGTCTGGGGATGAGAGAAGCAGTAAGTAATATGGAAACTGTGGGATACACTGGGACCAAGCAATTCTGCTGTGGGTCCCTTCAACAGAATGTAGAGACAGAAAGGGAGGACAGGGATATATTCCCATCCTTCTAACCCCTTTAAGACTTAGCGAGCCCTCCCCGCCCCTGGTCTGCAGCTGGAGCCCTTGGAGATGCCACTGCTTCCCCCAGGAGAGTGGCAAAAGCCAGGGATGGCAGGGGCGGCGGGCAGAAGCTTTGTGAGAAGCAAGTCACTGAGGGCAGACAAGGGGCAGCAGGTGGGCCCCTCTGAACCCTGGAGGTGGCACCCATGCCCATCCACGCTCGGCAGAGGCAGGGCTGCACATGACAGGGAGGTGGCACCAGCAGCGTCTCCCCTCTGCGGGACCCAGACGGACCAAGGGAAAAGGAAGGAGCCGCGTCTGAATCCCGTGCGAGTTCACATTAGCTGGTCTGTTCGCCGTGAAAAATGGAAGACACCACTTTTGTTGTAAAAGGTCTGTGTAATGGGCTGGGATCTGGCATACACGGAAGGCCTGGTGTCCTTCACAGCATCCCCTGGAACACAGCACAGGCCTGGGTGAGCTGGGGCCACCGTGCCTCCCAGCAGCCCTCGCCCAACCCAAAGGGCTGAGGGTCGTCAGGCGCAGGCTGCTGCAATGATTTAACGATTTCCCATTAAAATAGTGAAATCCTCTGTACAGTTAGAAATGGCCTCTACCCTTTGACCTCTACCATAGTACCCCCATTATTCCCTAGGATCCAAGGCAACTAAGGGGTATGCCTGGCATAGCATGGAAACCTTGAAACCCCTCTTTGGCTCAAGGGCCAGGATGTGCCCTGATGGGTGGCACACAGGCCATTCCACTTGTTAACTACTTTAACCCCATCCCTACCCCAAGGTCACTTACCCCTCATTACATTTCTCCCCCTGTCTAGTGACACCCCACCCATCCCAGTGCTCCATGGTGAGCGCCTCCGGGGTCTTGCCCAAGGCTGAATTACCCCTGCACCCTTCCCCCTTTCCCCCGCTGCCAAATGTCCACAGGCTGAAAATCCTGTCTGTTAGAAACATAATAATAATACCAGTCACCATCTGTTGAGCATTTACTGTGACCCAGGCACTAGACTGGTGCTTTCTCTGTGTAAAAGAGCGTTTAGGGCTGACCCAGCCACGGCCCAGGCAATGCCTTTGACCCCTCTTTCCTGTAGCTCACTGCTTCCACTGGGAAAAACAACTTCTGTCTGTAACTGTGTTTGGGAGGTTGGAGAAGTGGTCAACAAAACATCCATCATCTGTTCCCCATCTGGCCCCTGAACTGCTTGGATTAGGGGCATGAGGCCAGAAGCTTACAGAATGTTCCAGAGTAACTGTGAGCTTAGTGGAATGTCTACGGAGGAAAGCAGCCTTTGCCCTGAACACAGCGCTGCCCTAGTGCCCAGGGGGCATCCAGAACCAGCTTTCCTGGCTCCGATGTTCAGGTTACTGGATAAAATACAGGGTGCCCAGTTATGCTTGAATTTCAGATAAACAATGATTAATTTTTCAGTGCAATATTTGGGACATACTTATACTAAAAAATCGTTTACCTGGAACCGAAATGTAGCTGGGCATTCTGTATTTTAACTTGCTCGGTCTGGTGGCCCCACGCCGGGCGCTGGTCTGCAGGCAGTGGGCACGGACCATGGGCCGGGCAGGAGGGAAGAACAGGGAAGACCCACGTGCATGGTGCCTAAACTGAGACCCGCTCCCTGGGCACAAGGTGTCGAGCTCTTCTCAGAAGAACCTGATGGAGTAGATACAACTCAAGACTCTGATCAAACACCCCTTCCGAGAGGGCCTTCCCTGACCACCCCGTCTACCACAGCCGCCCTCCGTCTCCATCGCCTCCTGATTTCTCTTCTTACAGCCTTGACACTCACATGTGGTCCGTGGACCAGCGGCATCAGTGTCATTGGAGAGCTTGTTGGAAATGCAGAATTTCACCCCATCCTGCCATATTCCAGGCAGAGATACCAGACTGAGCGAAGGCCTGGAAGTGTGATGGTGCTGGCTTGCGCAGAGAGCAGTGAGCCAGGGGGATGTGCTGGTAAATGGGGGACCGTGATGCATGAGCCCGGGGAGGGGACCAGGTCTACCTGCAAAGGTTTGGAATGGCAAGATGGTGGTGGCCCTTACCCACATGCCAGCCGTACTCCCAGGATGACAAGACCGGGTACTGAAACTTCTCCTCTGGCTTCTGCCGATGCCGCTCCCGGAGGTACAAGGCCCGGCCCTGGCCGTCGTGGGAAATGCCTCGGAAGAGCAGCTGCAGGGTGCTTGGGGGCGCCTGCCTCATTTCTGAGTCCTTTGGTTTGGTCTGGCCTGTTGACTCTGAGTTGCTCTTTGGGCCTCCCAGCCTCTGTCTCTCCTGGGCCAGGGGCGCTGAACACCTTCTTTCCTGGAGAGCTGATCCTGGACCCCCTTGGTCTCTGGCAGTCTGGTCCTTGCTGTCAGGAGAGCTGGTGGCAGGCAAGGACCCCACGCCTGAGGCTGAGCTGAAGGGCACCCGCTGGGGCCGCTTCCTGGGCAGGGGCCCCTCCTTCAGGTACTTGTGGCCATAGTTGATCTTCCAGGCGGCTCGGGCAGCGGCCTCCTTCCAGATGAGCTCCTGCCAGCAGGCTTGGTTCTGGGAAGTGAACAGGTCCTTCATGGCAGGGAAGGGGAGGCAGGGGAAGTTGGAAACATTTGTCCACAGTTCTCAAGCCTGTGTTTGCACTGCTGGTGTCTCGTCTCCAAGGATACGTGCAGCCAATGAGGGCTGGGTTGCCAAGGCCCTGCTGGAGAGGAGGGGCTGGAGACACTGAGAACTTGGGGCCATTCATAGGCTATAGGAGAGACCGGGCAGAAAAAGGAGCAGAGTCACTACAACCCACCTAGGGTGCTTGGCGGGAGGTGTTTTGCCCCAGAGAGACTCAGGGCCTGGAACTTGTACCCAGAGGGTACACCTACTATGCACCAGCCACCCAAGGGGGTCCAAAGAGATGCCTAGTGTTCTCCCTCAGGAAGCTCTGGGCACCTGGGGGGTTGCTGTCACAATTCTGGACACCAACCCCTTAGACACAGTTCCGCCGCTCCATACCTACATGGCCTCATTGGCACAACAGGATGATCATGGCCAGTGCTTCACAACTCGGGGCAGTGCCTGGCCTGAAGGAAGCCCTCCGTGAGTGTCAGTGGTGATTTAACAAGCACCTGCTTGGTACCCACTGCTGTGCTGCACTCCATGTACCTTAAATCACCCCATTTGGACATTGGGCCTCTCAGAGCCTCCTTTTTAGGTGAGAAAATGGAAGCTTAGGGAAATGATGCGCCTGCTCTAGGGCGGGCGGCTGGTGTATGGTGGTACCTCTGTGCAAGGCCCTGAGCTGGAATTTTACTGAGGGACGTCACTTAATCCTCACAGTGACTTACTAACAGGTTTCTTACCTTGCTTTTCCAGATGAGGAAACTGAGCTCAACAACATTAAATGGTCACTCCAGGATTGACTCCAAAACCCATGCCATGTATTACAAACATAAAACTCTACCACAGGATGTGACAAGCACCATGAGAGAGGCACAGGCAGGATGGGACAGAGCAGGACCCGCCAGTACTCCGGCAGTTCCCCCTGCTTCCTCGAGCAGGGCCCTCCAGGGGGAAGTACCAGTGAGAAAGAGGTTACCCACAATGCCTTGGGGCCACTCACCTTTCCACTCTCTGCTGAGTATGTCCTCATTTATTCATTCAAGAAACATTCATTTGCTTTTGACCCTATGCCAGGCACAGAGCCAGGTACTAAAGACAGATGAAGAGGGATAGAGTCCACATGCCTCCTGCCCTCTGGCTTTCATGGATAGGCTCATAACTGGGTGGGTAGAAGGTGAGGCAGGAAATGGGCGGTGGTCAGGGAAGGTTTTCTGGAGGAGGACCTCTTTGTTTGAGATCTGAACTAAAAACATGATGAGCCAGGCAGAGAGGGGCAAGGCTGTTACAGAGTGGGACCCCAAGTCTCAACGGCAAGAAAGCACATAGACTGTCCTCAGTACCTCAGTCTTCCCAACTGTCCAATGAGGGCTATGAGGAAGTTTGAGAAATTTGGGAAGATTAAGAACCAGCTGGTTAAGTGGGACAACCTAGGTCTGTGTATCTCCTTTGGGACACTCACAATGGTCACTGCTTAATTGTGCAAACACCTTTTTATTCCAGGTTTTAGGACCTGGCTGTAAGCACCATTCTTTCCATACTGAGGGCCTTCTTTGTGCCCAGAGCTGCAAGTGAACAAAACTGACAAAATATCTCATCCTTGTGCAGCTTGGGCTTCTGTGCCCTGCCTTGCTCAACACCAGATTTGTATCTCCAGTGTACCTCTGCGGGTATTTCCTAGCCTACAGTAGGGGCTCAGAAGAAGGCTCACAATGAGGAGGATATTTCACATCAGCTCTGTTGCACCTGGGTGGGTGGGAAGGATGGAGGGAAGAAGGTCTATGAAAGCTGGGCTGGGGGGTGGCAGGACCCTGGGGCGGGGCTTGATCCCAGAACTCAAGAAAGCCTCCCTGACCCATACTGTCACCACCCCCAGGCTGGTCAGTCAGTCTGGGTGCCGAGGGTGCAAGACAGTAGAGGTCAGTGTCCTCCTCAGGGCTTCGGAGACCTCATGCCCTACTCCTCGCAGGGACTGCCCTCGGTGCATCAGTTTGCGTGTCCAAGGCGACCCCTGGCGGTCACCACAGCGATGACGGCCTGCCGGCTGTCCCACCAGGAGTCAGACCAGCAAGCGGAGCTGGCAGGGCTCCGCTGCAAGGGAGACCGGCTCCTCAAGGAAGGGAGGGAGTGGGAGGGAGCAGAGAGGTGCCCCCAAAGTGCTGCTTTCCAACAAGTCTCAGAACTGCCGCCGGCGCACAGGGAGAGACGCCTTCAGATTCCGAGCGTTCACCCTGTGCCAGACCGCTGCGCGCAGCGCTCGGCTTTTGGCTCCATTCCTAAATACAGGCCCTCGGTCTGGGGACCATCTTAGGCACCTTAAACCAATAGTAGTGATTTTTTGAACCCTGACCACGTGCTGGACACTGTGATGTGCTCTTTATATGCATTTGTCGGTTAATCCTCAGAACACTCTATGGAGTAGGTCCCATTACCTCAATTCATTGGGGGAGGTAACCTAGGCACTGCTCTCTGTGGGGGTAGATGATCTTCTGGAGGCTGTGGCAGGGCCAGGATTTTGGCCCAGTGACCCATGCTTGTGACCGCCATGCTAACGGCTTCCCCAAAGCCCTCCCCCCGCCCCGCCCGCTCCTCCCGAGATACCCCTTCCGTTCTGCGTTGGGGAGCTGTCTCCCCAACACTCAGGTAGCCCCTCTCTTGAGCGGCTGTGGATGGGGAACGGTTTGCCCAGACAGTTGGAGGTTGTTTGTGTTGTAGGAACTTTCCAGAGTTTAATTTTAGGATCTACGTTTCCAATTATCTTTTTATTTTAGGGGTGAGGGCACCGAGGCCCAGAGAAGGTAATTGTCTGAGGGCTTCCAGCTGGTGGCGGAGCAGGCACTAGAATCCAGATCCCAACCGACCCACTGCTTCTTGAGTGCTGCTTGCACACTGGGTTATTCCGCTGCTTGTGCTGGCTGCTTATAGCTAGGCCTGAAGCTGACATTTCCGGGGCTTGATGCCTCTGCCAAGGTTTCCTTCTCTGAGATCACCTGCCTGCTTTCAGCATCAGCTTTGCCCTAAAATGTCCATGCCGACAGGGAGAGGCGGTGACCATGGCCAAGGGAGTAATGTGGGCAATATAGGCTCACAGGTTCTTTCATCTTTGAGCTTTGTCCTGGGGAGATAAGCAAGTTCAAAATTCGAAAGAGTCTTGGATGTGAGTCACAAGTCAGGCTTGTAAATTGCCCATCTCCTGCCTGCCTGCCTGCCGGCTAGAACTCTTGAGGAAGAGAGAAGGGGTGAGGGGCGGGCCACCCTAAATTCCTTGCCCATGAGCTGGTCCCCTGTGGGTTCGGGGGCCCAGACAAAAGCCTTATCACAAAGCAAAAAGGATCCCTTGTTTAAAAAGATTCCTCCCACCATATGTTTGGGCAGCATCCTTAGGACAAAGCCAGAGGGGGGAAAAAAATTACATTCAAGCTTGCCTTGAGCGATGTGACATTTTCACTCCCTTTTCCAGTTATGATTTGCTATTGTGAGGAGAAAAAGAATGAGCTAAACAAGATGTGTTCTGGGAGAGATTTCATCAGTGGACTCTGATTACAAAGCCCCTTCCCCTCCAAATTAATGGAGACTTGGAGAGATTCCATTCCTTTCCCAGACCCTGCTTCCATCTGGCCCAGCATGAAGGCCAGAGGGCACTTAAATTAACCATCTTGTTCCCCATTTTAAAATACAAACTTGGGGGGTTGACAGGAATTGAGCACTCATTTTACCATTAACCTTTATTCTGCTAATTTTTCAGCCTGCAATTTTCAAGGGAAATTAAATCCCTATGTGCCTGATTCATTTTACACCAAACTCATCAAAATGTGGCTTTCAAGGCCCCTTTGAAGTCTTAAGACCAGACATGTGGTCAAGGGCCCAAGTGTTTATAAGCGCATTGGAAAGAGAGACATGTTGATTAAATGTTTCCTCCTTGGCAGCATTGCTGATGAGTGCTTCCCTGGGTTTCAGAAGGAAATTTGATGAGGAAGAGGCCTGAAGGGAGCAGGGCCTCCCCTGGGTTGAGGCTCTCTGCAGGGCAGCTGGCAGCTGGCGTCTGTCTAACCTCCTTCAGCCTCTGAAGAGTGACGGTCTCGTCAGCTCCTGGCCGGAAAGGGCAAAGTCAACCAGTGAGAGTGGGAAAGGCTCTACCACCTGGCCTGTACAGGGTTAAGTTTCAGTTTTCAAGGTGTTTGTACAAACAAAAGCCGGTTCCCATAGCAGCCAGTCCAGGGGCAGATAAGAGCTGCCCTGTGGCTCTGGCTGTTGACCAGTAGAGGTGCACAGATTTCACCCTGAGATGTCTTTGAAGTAGTTGGCAGAGGACTTCCAGGAGCAGTCCCAGGTGCTAAGCGCAGTGGCTGAGACTCACGGCTCCCTGTGGGATTTCATGTGATCCTCACAACCAGCCAGAGGGCGGTAGGCTCTGAGAGCAACCTCCCCAAGGCCACAAAGCCAGTGAGTGACTGAGCCAATGTTTAAGCCCTAAGGTACCTGATGCCAAAGTCCGCTCTGTAACCTGTCTATTGCTGCCTCTCCAGGAAGCAGCCAGGCTCCAATAAGGTATAGAAATCAATGGCTGTGGCCCTGTGCTCCTCTGGGGACAAACCAGCCTGCTGTGGCCTGTCTAGACCCCCTAGGCAGAGCCTGTAC